GTTACACAATGGAAGGAAGCCGACATTTACTGACCCTGTACCACATGCCAGGCACCCCTGGAAGTTTCGACCTGTGGAAGCAGGTGCTTTCCTTTCATGATCATCATCAGATAATGCTTGTATAGTGTGATGAATTCAGACAGGATGAAAGTTAGAAGCCTAGAAATAAATGTCCTTCTTAGTGACTGTAAGAATTTCTAAAATCTTCTCTTGGAAATAAGGACAATTGTGAAAACCTAAAATTTTTTAAGACAATGAGACCAAATTCAGCCAAAATCAGATTGATTTCTTCTAGTCCATTGAAGTTATACTTCTTACCTCTATGACAATGGTAGTATCATAGAATAGTAGAGCAGCCAGTATCTTAGATATTTTCTAGGCCAGCAGTCCTGTCCAAGAGAAATAATTCATCACGTATGTAATACAAAATTTTTTAGTAGCCACAATAAAAAAGGAAAGACCAACAGGTTAAATTTAAATTGTATATTGGATAACCTGGTTATCCAAAATATTGGGTGGCCAGAAAGTTTGTCTGGGTTTTGTCATAAGGCCTTGCATATATTGACCCTCTAAGATCTTACAGAAAAACCTGAATGAAATTTTTGGCCAAACCAGTATTACCATGTCAACATGGTAATCCATGTAGAATTATTAGAGATAGTTTGTGTCTTTTTTTGAAATATGAAACCTTCAGAATCCAGTGTGATATTTTACACATATAGCGCATTTCCATTCAGATGCTAACTTTTCATCAGAAATGCTTGATCTGTATTTAGTCATAAGAGTTGCCATTGAAAATGTAGATTCCAAACACTATTAAAACTTTTTCCAATAAAGTACCCTCAAACCCCCCCATTTTCTTTAATACTTGACATCTGTATTGACAGGACTGACATCTTTTTTTTAGAATAATTGACTCTGACGCAAAAGCCTATCAGTTTAAAAACTGTATGTAAGTTAGGTAAATCCACTCACTTTTGTAACAACTCAGTGTTATCAATATCAAATTCAAAGGGCCATTATATAGACTGAAAATCAGCTCTAAATTTATTCATGTCAACAAAGCATTCTTCAATTTTTCTTATAGCTATTAGAGCCAACTTACATAATGCTATTGCATTTAAAATCTCTTGCATATTTGTTCATGTTGAAATGTGTAAAACCATTATTAATTTATGGTATGAATAGTTTAAATTTTAACATAAATTCTCATACCTGTCCAGCTGTGTCACAAACAAGCTTTCTCTCTCCTTGGACTTTTACATTTAGCTCCTTCATGTGCACTGTGCTGTAGGTAAAATGTAAGTCGTGGGGTGATGTTTTCTGTTATGTTGAATATTGGCAGGTGTCCTTTTGATTCAAGAAAATCTTGAATTAGAGTTAACAGAACAGTAAACCTTTGTAAAATCTGCCATGACTCAAGCAGTGAAAGTTGGCAAAGAGCATGTAGTCATTAAATTATCTTCTGTCTCTTATAACAGTTCCACTGGTGATGAGTCAGAGCATTTATACATGTATACTGAACAATTTTAGTAACTGCATCATTTTAATAACTGCACCCATGATACAGTCCACTTCAGAGCACAAATATTTTCAGTATGTTAATGTGAAGTGGATCAAATAAGGGAATTAATTCCAGTAAATCTGGGGTTTTGATCCCACATAACTGGTTCTTGTTTGTGTTGATAGAAAGTAGCTTTTTCCTATCTAGCTGAAAGTGACAAATGTAAAAGATTAAAAAATACTTGCAGCATGAGTTTGATTGCTTTTAAGGTTGCAAGTAGACAAGGACATTTCAATTTGGAAGTCATTTGAGACAAAACATACCCTAAGTATTCATTGGCCACTGTCTCTTGTAAAGCTTATCTAAAGCTAAAAATAAAAGTATTTATAGTTTTCAAATGTTGAATCAGTTCTTGGTGAATCAACTGAAGATCTTTCACTTTTTGTAAAATATCTTTTGTGATCTTTCTCTCAAATTTTAAAACATAATTCCCTTAACTGAAATAATAAATTAATGTTTCATCTCTCCATCTAAAAATGGTTTTCTTTCTTGAGCAAGAATTCAGGCTGTTTTGTAGCTTGCCAGAATTATAAGCTCAAATCCCTAAAGTCAGTGAGAAATCATTTTGTTACACATTTTGTTCTGATTTCATTGTGACAGCGTTCATTGATTGTATTTTGACTGTAGAGAGGCAGCTTCTTGTTAAATCACTATGCATTTGCTGAAAATGACTCAACATTGTCTGTTATCTTAAAACTTTTATATATGCAGCTTATTAATTTGGCTCTGCTGTGTTAAATCATAATTGCCATTCTTAGTAAAATTACACTCAATTCTACCTCATTAGGGCGCCTTAATTTGGAAGTTAAAAATTTTTTTTCATTCTTAGTTTTTGAGCCAGAAAAATAATTTCATTATAGTTAAATTTATATTAATTTATATAATTTATAATTATAATTAATTTATATTAAATTATAATTAAATTATAATTATAATTAAAATAAATATTTCAATTTAACTACCAATTATGTATGTAGGTATTTATTTATGTAGGTATCACTGTAACTGCTGCTTTCTGCATAAAATATTGAAATAAGTACTTTACAGTGCTTCATTAGTGCATAGAAAAGTAACAGAAAAATAGCTATGCCACATTAGAACAGCTCTGGAGCCTAGAGCAACTTACTCACTTTAATGATGAACACTCAAAGAGATGAAGTAAATAGACCCAGTTAAGGCAGATTAGTTCAGAGTGGAGCAAGGTCATAAATAAACTGTATTTTGATGTATGAAAATGTTCCTTTAACAAATGCTAAAGGCTGAATTCATGTCACACCAAAAAGAATTACTTTAATGTGAAAAAAATCAGTTATTTCATATAATGTAAAGCAATTTGTTTCTTTAAACAAAGCGACATTTTTTTTCTGTGTGTGTGAAAGTTAAGGGGTTCACTTTTCAATTAGGTAGACTAGCAGCATGGAAATATGTGAAAGACCATCTAAATTTGCTCTTAGACTTCATTCCCCAGATGAACAGTAGTGTTTGGAGTTGTTTTTGTTTTGAACACTGGATAATTCTTTTAGTCAAAGTGCATGTATATGTTTATGCCAATCTAAAATGAAAATATAAGCAGGAATTAGGGTAACAATACAATTTCATGCTCTAGCGCATGCCTGGGATTCACAGAGGAACCAAGTGCCCTAATCCCAGATTTTTAGAGTAGACCTTACCCTCTTAACATTTATGCTGAGAAGAAGCAAGGAACTGAAACTTTCCACAAATTTAATTGCTTTATGTATTTGTTATAAAACCAATAAAGAATTATTTTCCTCCCATTGCTGATGGCTTTGATCATAGAGAAACAGTCTGGGATGTGAATGGTAGCTTTTGCTGTTAGTAGAAATGTTAAGGATTAACCGTGGGAGCTTGGAGAATATTAGAGACTCTTGATTGATAGCATTAGATAGTCAGATTTTGGGGGAGGGACTTGTTAAATAATTACATGTGTAAATTGTGGCTAAGAGACACAAGCCATGTTTTTGTGTGTGATCTTTTTTTAAACAAATTACTTTCCCCCATCCTCTTTACAATTTTTGAATAGCCTGGTTTCAGGTATGTAAGAAATAGTTTTTGGATTGTGCTGGATTTGACCTAATTTTTACTAATTGCTACCAAGTTGCTTCAGTGGCGTCTGACTCTGTGTGACCCCACAGACGGCAGCCCACCATGCTTTGCTGTCCCTGGGTTTCTCCAGGCAACAACACTGGAGTGGGTTGCCATTTCCTTCTCCAATGCATGAAAGTGAAAAGGGAAAGTGAAGTCGCTCAGTTGTGTCGGACTCCTAGCGACCCCATGGACTGCAGCCCACCAGGCTTCTTCGTCCATGGGATTCTCTAGGCAAGAGTCCTGGAGTGGGTCGCCATTGCCTTCTCCATACTAATTGCTAGGCATTCAAAATTTTGCTCAGAAGAGTGGCATTGTTATTGTCATTATTCTTTGGTAGTTTTAATAAGTGGTTTTGTACAAAGCTGCAGTTCAAAAGAATATTTTGGTACTAGCTTGTAAGTTGTTTCAGTTAAAATTGGCCATATTCCAGGGAAAAAAAATTGAATGCTAATGTACAAGTTAGAGTTTATTGTGTCTGATTCCTTATATTATTTGCTTATTGACTTGCTAACACACACACACAATATCAGTTCTAAAGAACACCTTAAACATCTTTCCTCAAAGCGTTTGTTTCCTGCAAGATGTAGTCACTGTTCTATACTTTTGTTTTCTAACATTGCAGAATGAAAAGATTTATTCTTCTCAGTTTAGTTTATTTAAATTAAATTATGTGTAAAAGGAGCTTTCCTGGTGGCTCAAACGGTAAAGAATCTGCCTGCAGTTCTTTAGGCAGATTGCCTGGGTAGGAGACCCAGGTCCTATCCCTGGGTCAGGAAGATCTCCTGGAGAAGGGAATGGCAACACACTCCAGTATTCTTGGTTGAAAAATTTCATGGACAGAGGAGCTTGGCTGGTGTGTAAAATGTATATAGCTTTTAGTTTTTTATTCAAAGATCCCTACATGTTAATTATCTTTTTCCTGCTTTTTTCTTACATCTCTTCTTCCCATTAATTTGAGTTGGGAGGGATCACATTAAAGCTTTAGGCTTCATGCTACATGAATAGAATTGGTGCTTTGTATTTCGTTTTCCATGTATTATGCACCACTAAAAGGAATATAACACATGTCGCAGCGTATTTCATTTTCGAAGAGGAATTGAAGAGCTTTTGAATAAAAATGTGAAAAGAAACTAGTGTTCATTGCCTACGTGACTTTTTAAAAAGGCTCTTTAAAAACATTCCAGTGTGGATTCTAAGTCCTCTTTGAACTCACCGCTGACTGTAACTGCTTGCAGAGCCACGTGATCATCTTGGCAGCATGGTTTTAGTGATTTCATTACTGTGGTTTCCTCAAGCTCTTTACACACACTGATTAATATTTTCCTTGCAGTTATCGCTGTGATGATTTTGTGGTTAATGACACCAAGCTGGGACTGGTACAGAAAGTCAGAGAACACTTACAGAATTTGGAAAAGTAAGTAATAGACCTTGGGAAAGAAGGGATGGAATGGGGTTGAGGGGTCTTTCAGAATTTCTGAGTGGGATTTTTGTTGATGAGTTCCATAACCTCATCACACTCAATGTTTTTAGTGTGATTGAAATGTGAGCAAAATAAACTTTGGAGTTAGGTATATGAAAATTGTCAGTGATCATAACTCAGCATTTATTTCATTTAGTATCTGTCATAACTGTATCCAAGGGCTCCAGAGCCTGTTTTTTAGTTACTACCCACCATCCTATAAGTTCCTCACTTTATATGCAAGGGGAGTTTTGCTAGTGCAAGGGAAGGGCAGAAAATGATCCAAAATCATTATAGGGTTATCTGAAATATTAGAAAACCCTTATCAAATGTATTAATGAGGTCTTCTTAGAAGCTATGAAATTTATGTATAAATTTTAAGGGAAAATAGGTTTAACTATATTATTGTTTACTTTGCATCTATATGATAACAGAAGATCCTAGTTTCTTCTTTTTCTTTTTTGTGAGGTCTAGTATTTATCACTTGAAAGTATAGGAAGCTGTGAAATGCTTTGTCATCATAAAGAAATTAAACTACTGTGAATAGTTTTTTTTTTTTTTTTTGCTGAAGCCAAATAGGTTAGTCAGATACAATTCACTGGACCCAAAATTCAAGCAGTAAACAGAAGCCCCAGTGGCAGTGTCTGGTGCTGCAGTGGATGGAAGCATGGTCCTGGAATGATTGCTGACTCAGGTGCAATCCGTGTAAATCTCCCGATCATCAGGTGCCATCTAATTCATTTTGACAGTTGATGTATAAATGGCATTGTGAGAACACGCCAGAAGTGGGAGTCCTTTAGCAAACTTACACATAAAGCCAGCAGGGTATTTTTAAATTGTGTGGTGATAGAGAATGACCTGAGTTCTCTAAGTTAAACACTGTCTAGCTTTGGTTAACCAAAGTCTCTCTGCATGTTTCTGACTAAATACAGATTGTAAGCTGAAAAGGGAGGAAATGATTTCCTTAAAATCTAAACTAATTAGAACACTTTGGATTTAAGTACGTTTTGGCTTGTCCTGTTGGGGCACCTTACTTTTTCAAAGTGCTTCCCCCCTTCTCTTAATTTGAACAGAGCAGCAGGAGCCCTGTCTAGGATTAGAGACACAGCTGTAGACACACAGATCTAGACTATTGAGATTGGTCTGAAATTGTCACAATTAACTGTGACGTAGGAGATTCTTGCAGTAGTTTTTGTAACATCACTCTCTGGTGTGATGACATCATTGTAAAGATCTTAGTAACCTGATTCTTTGTTATAGAAGGAGGTAGCTACCAAATTATTTCTCCCTGTCACCTAGAGTTTTCTCTTAAGAAAAGACTATCATCTCAATGACAAATTCATCAGAACTAAGTCAGAGGGAGAACAGGACTTTCAAGAACCTGCATGCTTTTATATAAGCAGCTTTCAAATCTTTTCTTTCCCATGACCACTTCATTAGGTAAAAGGTGTCACAGACTACCTTGTCTCCACTGAAAAACGTACCTTGCAATCCTTCTGTGTTGAGAAACATTATCTAAGTTTATTTTGATGTTCTCAAACACAGCCTTTAATCTGTGCTGGAAGCTACAGTGGAAGATCCATGACTGCATTTGACTTTTACTGCCAACCGTCCAGCCTCTCTCTGGAGCAGCACTGTGCACCACGAACCTTGTATAATCACACTGTGTAGCCACTGGCCATGTGTGCCTGTGGGGCACTTGACAATGAGCCAGCATGACGAGGAACTGGATTCTATGTTCTATTTAAGTTGAATTAATTTAAATTTACTAGCTACATGTAGTGAGCGGCTACAGGAGTTGGTGATGGACAGGGAGGCCTGGCGAGCTGCGATTCATGGGGTCGCAAAGAGTCGGACACGACTGAGCGACTGAACTGAACTGAACCTTGTTAAATAGCATGGATCTAAAGGGTTCTGCCATTTTGAGAATCACCAATGGTAAAATTTAATACCGTATTTTAGACAGCTAAAGGCTTTATTTGTATAGGTTGAATAAAAGTTAGCTATTAGGCATTGTCACTGTGCTTGTGACTCAGTTTCTTTCCTCGCAGAATCTGTGAAGGAATAACTTGACATTATACTATATGTGGGCTTCCCTTGTGGCTCAGCTGGTGAAGAATCCGCCTGCAACACGGGAGACCTGGGTGCGATCTCTGGGTTGGGAAGATCCCCTGGAGAAAGGAAAGGCTACCCACTCCAGTATTCTGGCCTGTAGAATTCCACAGACTGTATAGTCCATGGGGTCGCAAAGAGTCTGACATGACTGAGCTACTTTCACTTTCAAGGCACTTTCTCTTTCATACTACATACGGGGTTGATCACTTCTTACCTTGTCATTAGAGGCACATACAGTTCTGAAGACATTTTTCCTAAGAATATTTTTAGATTTGAAGCAGCTGACTGTCACTAGATCTACTGCTCTCAAGGCACTTCATGTGGAAATTCTGGAAAGAAAAATAATTATATATTTTCTTTGGATTAGCCTGATAATTTTGGAAGATGGAAAAGGGTTGGTAGACTTAAAAGTCTGTGTTGTTTAATAATAGTAGCTTTTACTTCCTTTGGATTAGTTCCCTGATACATCATTTTAAAGTGACCCTTTGAAGATAGGAATTACTTTCTGATAAATTTCAAACAAGATCTGTCTTTCATTGTGAAAAATTTACATAATTTTAACTCAGAATTATGTGCTGTTTAGGATCTGTTTTACAACATGCTTCGTAACATAGCTGAATCAAAGGAGTTGGTGTATGCCTGTGTGCCTCTGATGTATTTTTATTCCACAGACTCAGACTATGTGATCATCTGTTACAACATACAAACAAAAGAGGATACCTTTACCAAAATTAAGAAAGAAATAGAGTATTTGAGAGTTGATGTTAAATGTCAGAATAACCATGTCAGACCAGGGTTTCCCTTTTTTATGTGGTGTGTGTATTCTCTCGTTTGGAGATTCACCATCGGTAGACAGAGTTGGGGAGGAGACGGACTGTCTCAGAGACCACATCTACCTGGCCAGCTTCTCTGGGAAGTGCCCGGAGGTGGCAGATTCTAGTCCCACCCTGCTGGAGGAGCAGTGGGGATTTCCAGGGGAAGTGGAACTCCTCGGTACTTGAAGGACTGGTAGGCCACAGTGGCCTCCTGGGTCCCTCCTGGGCCTGGCTACTCAGTCAGCCAGGGCTGTACCCTCGAAGCTTAGCACGGCCACCTTTGCTCTCTGTCCTGCTGGGTGGTGTGTATGTAGGCATGTCTTTTTGACTGTCTGTCTGTTTGTGTTTTAATAGCTCATCTTTCACAGCTGACAGGCATAGGAAAAGAAAACTTTTGGAAAACTCATCACTGAACAGCAAGTTACTAAAAGTAAATGTAAGTAATTAAAATTTATTCAAATACAAGAATTGGTTGAGGTCTAGTCACTGATTACAACTCTAACATTAATGTTACCCCTTTATGAAATTTTATAAACGTATGTCTTGTATTTGGAATAGTTTACAAAGTGTTTGCCCCTGGTACTAACGACTTTTGATGTGACTAAATACCCCGGCGAGTCTGTCAGTGCCTGCCTTCCGTCAGGATTACTACCATGCTCCAGTACCTTAGCGAGCATTTGTTCTTAAGGCCTCCTCGTGTACCTTGTTACCCTTTTGCATAGGGTCCCAGAGATCCTTGCTTCCTTCTGCTAAAGGTCCCTACTTCAAATTCTGTGGGTCTGAAGTTATGGTAAGTTTTGTTCCTTAGTTATATTTTTTCCACTTTGTAGTAGCTTTAGTAGTCTTATGAAGGTTTTAGGGCTTCCCAGGTGGCTCAGTGGTAAAGAATCCACCTGCTAATACAGGAGATTTGGGTTTGATTCCTGGGTCAGGAACATTCCCTGAAGAAGGAAATGGCAACCCACTCCAATATTCTTGCCTGGAGAATCCCATGGATAGAGGAGCCTGGCGGGCTACAGTCCATGGGTTCACAAAAGAGTCAGACATGACTTAGTGACTAAATATCAACAATAGTAAAGGCATGACGTCTTAAACTTATTTCTTTTAAGGACCTTCCTGGTTTTTGCATCATGTACTCCATAGTACTTATTAAAGCTGATTTCCTATTAAGTTTCCATTTAGAACTGTCCTAGGATCAGAAACAGTCTTCTAAAAATATCCAGACACTTATACAGAGAGTAGAAAGAGAATTTGAAATATTCATTGGACTGAAAAGGATTGATTCCAACCTGGCTTGATGCTAGAGTTTCAAATACAGTCCTTGGCCCTGTAATGTCTGAAGCAGTTGGCCTTCTCTTGGCGTTACTGAGGCCGCCTCTCGTTTTACAGGGCAGCACCACTGCTATTTGTGCCACGGGCCTTCGGAATTTGGGGAATACGTGTTTCATGAACGCCATCCTTCAGTCGCTCAGGTAATGTTACAGTCAGACCTCAAATATCTAATGTTAGTTTCTGGTGGAATGGTTAAGAGCAAAGGGTCCACGTTCAGGTTCTGTCTCTGGCCCTGACTCTAGCCTGGTAACTCGGGGCAAGTTACCTCAGTTCCCTGCGCCTTAGTTTTCTCATCAGTGAAATGGGGATAATAGTCTGCCTCACGGAGTAGCTGGGAAGATAGTGTATAATTTACATAAAGTGCTTAGAGCAGTGTCTGGCAGTAAATAACTGTTAGGAGTTATTATTTAGTTCCTGTCACTTCTTAAATAGGCTTGACCACAGGCCAGCAAACTTCTGAAAAAGGCCAGATTAAATAAATATTTTTAATCTTTGCATGCCACATCCAGGCCCTCTCACATATTTTCCTCCTCTCTTCAATACTTCCCTCCCTTTTAAACAACTCTTTAAAAATACAAAACTCACTTTAAAAATGGAAAAGCTCACTGGCCCAGGGCCAGATTTGCCCTGTGGACCATAGTTCGCAGACCCCTGGGCTGTAAAGAACCTTGTTCAGAGAGCTCAGTTCAGTCATTAGTTTTGTCTTAAGCATGGTCATGAGATCAGGATCCTCACCGTTTAGGATGAGCAGTGAAAAATAAAACAGGCAACAAGGCTGACCTAAGTTATCTAAAAGAGATTATTTAGAAAGCTGTGTACTTTCAGATTCTAATGTGGTGTCATAAAGACCAGAATAAATTATTTTCCCAGGGCCAGAAGCTACATGTGCTCTCTCCTTAAAGGGGCTGGCTCTCAGCTTTTCTTGCTTGCAGAAGAAATTCTAGTTGCTACTGAATTCTCCTTGTTACTCTGTATAGTGTATTCAAACAATATGGTTGCTCTCATAGTTTACTTCTGCTGGAGGAAATTATTGAACACCTGGAAACAAACACCCTGAAAAGAAAGAAATGGTGACAATCTCTGAATGGGAAGGGGGATTGAGGATCTTGGGAACAGAGAATTTGCTTTAAGGTCTTTCTTTATTTCTGCAAAGTCATCTACTTGTATTATTTTCTGGGAACAAAAGAGGAATCCTAATGAAGAAACATGATGTAAGAGATTGCATTGAATACCACTTTAATGAGAAACTGACAGATCACATTTTCAAAATCCATATGTGGGTCTCATAATACTTTCTTTATAGGCCCTAGGACATTTAAAAAATAATTTTCTTTCCTTCCTTTTAAAATAGTAACATTGAGCAGTTTTGCTGTTATTTCAAAGAGCTGCCTGCTGTGGAATTACGGAATGGGAAGACAGCAGGACGGCGAACGTACCACACCAGGAGCCAGGGGGATAACAACGTGTGAGTGTCAAAATATGTCCTTTCTGGCTTTGAGCTACAGAACAAATGACTCTTACTGGTGATTTCCATTGTGTTATGTGAGTAAATAGGCACGTGCACTTAAAAAGAAACTCTTAACAGTTGTGTTTCAGTATTTAGCTGGCAATCTTAATAATTGTCGGAATTCTTTTATCTCTATTTACCTAGCAGGCAGGATAAATTCAGCACTCTATTTGTGGAGTCTATGGATTGGGGCATTCTAAAATTGACGTCTATGAATGAAGCACAGTTCTAGGTATAGAGCAGCATGAATGTCATTAGTCTGTGAATTAACTTGTGTGATCGGGTTAGGTAAACCTGTCTTGAATAATTAATTTGCAGTTATCAAATTCATTATGGGGCAGTACAGTCATTATTAGTTGATGTGGGAGGAGGAAGTGACAAGTGATTATTGGGAACCAAAACAATATGTATTCAAATTCAAACCATGTTCTATTGGGGTTCAGAAGTTGTGTCATCTTATCATGGTTGTAAGAGGCATCTTAACATTATTGAAATGAGGCTATGACAATGTAATGTTTTCCCTGTCTGCCCATCCCTGCTCTCACACACCCCATCCCCACACATTCTGAAAAGCCACACATAATCTAATACTTAACAGTCTGACACTGTTCTTCCTGCCTGGCTGAGGGAGAATAGCATAGACTGTGTTAGAAGAGTGTGCAGTGTGGAATATGCAGTGAAGCCAGGCATTGGCGCAGGGAGGGCATGATATCATGAGGAGTGGAGTAGTGAGAGTCTGCTTTGGCAGCAGCGTGCAGGATGAGCTAAAACGTGCTTGTGTTCAAGGAGGCTTCTTCACACATTATAGTAATTGGTTAGAGGGAATAGCAGTGAAACGAAGAGGAAAAAATACATGTGCACAAAAGGGAAGAATTAGTAGTACTTGATGCATTAGTGTGATTTAGGGTTTAGTTACAAATTACAAAAATTGCCTCTGGCCATCTTATGCAGAAAAGGAATTTATTGAAGGTCTTTGGTGAACTTACCATTAGCAGATGGGTGGAAAATCAGGTTAATGAGTCCAGGCATCTATAAAGGTGTCCTTATTAGGACCACTGTCCATGCCCCGCCTAAGTTTTCCCACTGCCAGCACTGCTGGGGTTGGTGCTGGGGGGAAGCTGCTGTTATTGCTCCTCCCATCTCCCCCCCACACTCCTGAAGATGCTCGTTGCCACCTGAAGTGATTTGGCACTGTCACAGCCTCGTTTCTAATTCCTGCTTCAAACACGCATACCAGGGCCATATACCAGAATCCTGGCTGCAAGGCAGGAGTGGGGCGAGGGCTGAGGAGCAAGTATTTAGCATTTTCAGCTTCCATAGTGGGAGGCAGGCTTTGACTCTCACAAGACTCTTTAAGATGGAGTTCCTCAAACACAGGATGAGGATTGAGGTACTAGGAAGTAAAAAACATAATTTCTATCTCAGGAGCCTGTTGGATAACAGGGGTTGAGAAAGAAGGTGGTGAGATTCTCTCTGGTGTCTATGAGGATGGTAGCTGTATTGACACATACAGTCATTGCAGTTGAGGAGGTGTTTGAGTTTACCTTTGTGCATAGAAAACCAAAACTAATGGTGACTTAAGCATCCCCGGTTTATTTTCTTATGTAAAAGTTGGAGGTTATCCATCTAGCTTTCTTACAATCACCGGGCTCACCTGACGTTCTGTCCACCATCCCTGGCTGTGGCTCTCATCTACACCGTCCACAGTGCTGCTGGGGAGCCACCGTTTCAACTTCATTCTAGCCGGAAGAAAGAAGGAGTGAAGAAGGACCACTCTTTCTCTTTAAGGGGATTTGTCAGAAGTTGGACACACTCAGAATTTCTTATTCCATGAACTCATATGCCAAGAAAAAAGTGGAAGCTGTATTCCTGTGGGGGGAGTGAGTGGAGACCGGGCGGCCGTAGGAGCAGGGAGCAGGTTTAGGACACACTGCGTGGGAAGAGACAAGAGGACGCCAGGAGGAAGTTCCTGCTGGGACCTGGAGACACCTGAGTAAAAGCAGTCATGAGAAAAATGTGGGTTTCAGATTTGGATTTGAGTGTTCTTGCCTGGAGAATCCCAGGGATGGGGTCGCACAGAGTCGGACACGACTGAAGTGACTTAGCAGTAGCAGTGCAGAGGTGAGTTTTGAAGCTCTGCAGTCAGAATACCTCTCTGCAGCAGAGATGAGCAGACAGCGCCGAACAAGTCGGAGAGGTGCTCCTAGTGAGGGGCAAGAAGGAAAGAGCCAGGAGGTGGACAAGGGATTCTGTTACTTGTTTTACATGCTTTAAAATATGCATCAGTAAGTAATTTGGTTTGTAACTTATCCATTGCTTTATTTTACAAGTATGATGGTACTTCGGCATACTCAAGAGTTCACCATACAATTGAAAAACTAGTTTTGTCAAGTAATTACCGCTTTTTGTATGGGTTTTTGAGGTGCTGTTACTTAACTGTCAGATTTAGTTCAGAAGAGACCAAACTTTTTATGTTTTTATATTTTATTTGTGAATTTTAGACAGTTTGGCATTGTGTAGTAAAACACTAGCCTCTTGCGAATGCAGTGGGGTCTCATCATCCCTTCCTCTCTTCTAGGTCTTTGGTGGAAGAATTTAGAAAGACACTGTGTGCTTTATGGCAAGGTAGCCAGACTGCATTTAGCCCAGAGTCCTTGTTTTATGTTGTTTGGAAGATTATGCCCAATTTTAGGTAAGTAATATTTAATGAAGGATATTTAAAACATTAATAGTAGTCCTTACATTGTTCCTGAAACAATTTCCAAGTGGTATTCTTGGTAATGAAGACTGTTTTGTTTTTTAAGGAGAAGGTAAGTTGGATATATCCTACTAGACAATGTGTTTAAATAATAGACCTCAGAAATGTCTTTAACAAAAAGCAGGGCATTTTGTTGTTATAAAAGCAAAGACCTTATAAATAACTTATGTACTCTAGGAAAACATACTGGGCAAAATTTCCTTGATTCTTTTAAAATCTTATTAACAGTAATTATCATCATACACTGTCTTATTTCAGCTAAAAGAAAAAAATCCAAATGTAATCAGTAGAAAACCATGGTACTGTATTCCAGACTGTAGTTAAGTCCATAAGATTCATTTCTCAGACAGTAACAAAATGAACAGATCATCTCCTTACATGGCTGCAGTCGCTGGGTTTTCCATGTTGTTTGTCTAGTCTCACTTGAGAGGGAAACGCCCTGCTGTCATAAAAGCCCCTCTTCTCCTAGGCTCATCAGCCCTGTAGCGAGCAGCAGATTTGAAGCACTGCGGGTGTTTGACAACAGCCTTTGCCACCTTCTGCTGATTTCATCTTTCTGAAGCACATCATGGTTCTTACTAGTCATGATTCTGGCATCTAATATATGCTCCTCTCCTTTTTTAAAGCCAGCACGGTGTAGTAAACCTTAGCAGTGTATCTTGCTTGATTGTCTCAGAGTGGTTCAGATCTATGGGTAGTGTGGAGAAATGTCTGAAGGGTAACAGGACTGTAATTTGTTGCCTTCCTGAAGAGTGTGGCCTTGAGGGTCGGATGTAATTGACTATTGTTAACCCTGGTCTTTGTTTTGAAGGATATTTCTTTTCTATTTCATGTTGTTGAAATCTCTTCTCAGGAAAGAATATCCTGTAAGAATTTTAGCATTATCTGACTCTAAATAGGAAAGGTAGAAATGATTGTTAAGTTATTGTTAATCACTGGTAGAAATTTCTATCAATCACCTAGTTTAGACAACTTTATTTTCTTGGGCTCCAAAATCACTGCAGGTGGTGACTGCAGCCATGAAATTAAAAGAAGCTTGTTGGAAGAAAAGCAGTGATTAACCTAGATAGCATTTTAAAACGCAGAGACGTTACTTTGCTAACAAAGTTCTGTCTAGTCAAAGCTATGGTTTTTCCAGTAGTCATGTATGGATGTGAGAGTTGGACCATAAAGAAAGCTGAGTGGTGAAGAATTGCTGCTTTTGAACTTTGGTGTCAGAGAAGCCTCAAGAGTCCCTTGGACTGCAAGGAGATCCAACCAGTCAATCCTAAAGGAAATAAATCCCAAATTCATTGGAAGGACTAATGCTGAAGCTGAAGCTCCACTACTTTGGCCACCTGATATGAAGAACTGAATCACTGGAAAAAAAACCCTGATGCTGGGAAAGATTAAAGGCAGGAGGAGAAGGGGACAACAGAGGATGAGATGGTTGGATGGCATCACCGACTCAATGGACATGAGTTTGAGTAAGCTCCAGGAACTGGTGATGGACAGGGAAACCTGGCATGCTGCAGTCCATGGGTTTGCAAAGAGTCAGACATGACTGAGCGACTGAACTGACCTAGTTAGACTCTTGATAGGGATTTAATCCTTGTGTTTTGTTACCAGATAAAAAGTGCTTCCATTTGTTGAATATCTATTATGTGCCAAGCACTTTGGGTATTTTATATTTGATCTTCGTTAAGAAACACAACAGAATTCCCATCAAGGTAGGAAGCATTGCTGTTGTTCAGTTGCTAAGTCATGTCTAACTTTCTGCAACCCCATAGACTGCAACACGCCAGGCCTCCCTGCCCTTTGCTAGCTCCCATGAACTTTGCCCAAGTTCATCTTCATTGAATTGGTAATGGACTTGATTCAGTGGACTATCCATGATTCAATGGACTATCCATGATTCAATCGGCTGTCCAACCATCTCATCCTCTGCCACTCTCTTCTCCTTTTTGCCTTCAATCTTTCCCAGCATCTGAGTATTTTTCCAGTGAGTTGGCTGTTCACATCAGATGGCCAAAGTACTGAAGCTTCAGCATCAGCCCTTCCAGTGAGTATTCAGGGTTGATTTCCTTTAAGATTTACTGGTTTGATCTTCTTGCTGTCCAAGGGACTCTCAAGAGTCTTCTCCAACACCACAGTTCAAAAGCATCAATTCTTTGGCACTCAGCCTTCTTTATGGGCCAACTCACATGCATCCATGACTACTGGAAAAATCATAGCTTTGACTATTTGGACCTTTGTCGGCAAAGTGATATCTTTGCTTTTTAATACTCTTGTCTAGGTTTGTCATAGCTTTCTTTTCAAGGAGTAAGCATCTTCTGATTTCATGGCTGCAATTATTATCCACAGGAAGTGTTAGCCTCATTTTAAAGATGAAACTTCGACAAAGGAGAGCAGTTCAGTGTTATGCATCTAGTAGGTGTTAGGACTGGAATGAGAACCCAGGTCTTTATGGCACTGGTCACTGATAGGTGTGTTCACAGTAAACTTGTAGGAACTTGTCCCCATGCCCAAGTGAGGCCTATCAGCTGTTTCTGTACTCTTCTACTTGGATTGCATGGTGACTCAGTTCCCTCTTCATTTAATAGAATTCTGCTTTTCATCTAAATCTTCCCATTACCTCTACCAGTTTATTTATTCTAGCCGTGAGCATGAGTTAGTTTTTAGCTACCTAATTTTACACATTCTGTTATTCCTACCGATGAAAGAAAAGAACTGGAAAAGCTGACCAGGTTGAGAAATTTGGATGGCGTTGCTGGAGTGATTCCTGTAAAACATGGCCTCTTAGATCTCGCTCGCTAATGACTGAGCGACTAAGCAGAACAACATGTCTCTGTGTTCTCAGCAGGGCTTTCTCTTTGTTCTGTAATAATTCATATTGTTCCCCACTTCCATGTTGTTGTTCAGTCACCAAGTCATGTCCTACTCTCTGTGACCTCAAGGATTGTAGCCCACCAGGCTCCTCTGTCCATGGGATTTTACAGGCAAGAATACTGGAGTGGGTTTCTCAAAGAATAATTTTCTCTTGGTTAGACCTAGATCTTGAGATTGTATCATGGATAAAGTTTTAGTGCAGGGTCACTGCCCAATGCCCAGGTGTAAGGCTGTGAGGTAGGGTTTTCTTCTTATAATTGTTACTCCTATTATATATATTGGGCTTCCCTGGTGGCTCAGTTGGTAAAGAATCCTCCTGTATTGTAGGAGACCTGGGTTTGATCCCTGGGTCGGGAAGATCCCCTGGAGGAGGAAATGGCAACCCTCTCCAGGATGTTTGCCTGGAAAGTCCCATGGACAGAGAAGCTTGGTGGGCTGCAACCTATGGCGTCACAGAAGAGTTGAACATGACTTAGTGGCTAAACCACCACTACTTCTTATGTATACAGGGTAAAATTCTTATAACATGCCAAAGTGGAAATGAAGTGAGTCTTGAATTATGTTTTTATTGTAGTTATAATCCCAAAGTAAAATTTTTTACAGTTTAGAAAACCCATTTTCCTTGGTTAACAGATGTCAGTATCCAGGGAGTTTGATCTCTGAAAACAACTTTCATCTCATTGTATGTCTCCATCAGAGCTCATGGACAATACGTCACAGGTGTGTTGTCCTTGAGCAGTAATATTTTGAAAGAAATCTTGTCTGAGAGTGTCAACAGTGTGCTTAAAATATTCAGTAAATCGTGTTGTAAACAGATATGCTACATCCAGGCCTTGTGGCTCCATTTATAGAGCACAGGCAGAGTGGATTGAGCATTATTCTTACGGCCTTAGGATTTTCAGCCTGGTAAAGGAGCACTGGCTTCAGCTTCAAGGCTTCAGCTGCATTAGCCCCTAACAGGAGAGTCGCTCTGTGCTTTGAAGCCAGACATTTACTTCTCCTCTCTAGCCGTGAAAGTCCTAGATGACATCACCTTCCAGTACAAAGCTGTTTTGTCAACATTGAAAATCTGTGGGTTAGTGTAGCCACCTTCATTGTTGATCTTAGCAAGATCTGGATATCTTGCTACAGGTTCTACATCAGCACTTGCCGCTTCACCTTGCACATGTATGTTAGGGAGACAGATTCTTTCTTTAAACCTCACTTACCAACCTCTGCTGGCTTCAAGCTTTTCTCCTGCAGCTTCCTCACCTCTCTCAGCCTTCCTGGAATGGAGGAGAGTTATTAAGGCCTTGCTCTAAATTAGGCTTTGGCTGAAGGAAATGTTGTGGCTGGTTTGATCTTCTGTCCAGACTGATAAATCTTTCTCCCTATCAGCAATAGGGTCTCACTTTTTAAATCAATGGTGTCTTCCCTGGGGTAGCACTTTTAAGTTCCTTCAAGAACTTTTCCTTTGCTTTCACAACCTGTCTGTTTGGTGCAAGAGGCCTAGCTTTTGGCCTCTGTCGGCTTTTGACATATCTTCCTCACTAAGCTTAATCCTTTTAGCTTTTGATTTAAAATGAGAGACTTGCGGCTCTTCCTGTCAGTTAAACACTTAGAGGCCATTAAGGGTTGTTATTTGGCCTAGTTTGAATATCATTGTGTCTCAAGGAATACAGAGGCCCAAAGGGAGGGAGAAAGGCAGGAATAGCCTGTCCCTGGAGCAGTCAGAACACACACAACATTTACTAAGCTTGCTGCCTTACATGGTTGTGGCACCCTAAAACAGTTACCAGAGTAACATCAAAGATCACTGACCATTGATCACGGTAACAAACATAATAATAATAATGGACAAATTTTAAGTTTTACAGGAATTACCAAAATGTGATAAGAGACAGAGTGAACAAATGTTGGAAAATGGCCCCAACAGACTTGCCTAAAGCAGGGTTGCCACAGACCTTCGACTTGTAAAAACCACAGCACCTGCAAAGCACAATAAAGCAAAGTGCAGTAAAACGAGATACACCTGTATTCTAATTAGGAATTTATCTATTGTATGGGTTTTTTGTGTGTTTGTAAAC